GAGCACCCAGTACTCAACAGGCTCCGTCTCCAAGAGGGCGCCCAGTACTCAACAGGCCCCGTTTCCAAGACAGCACCCGGCACTCATCAGGCCCCGCCTCCAAGAGAGCACCCAGTACTCCACAGCCTCCGATGCCAGAGCGGCCCTTTCGAAGTTGCATTAAAAAAGAATTCTGCCTCCAAGAGAGCACCCAGTACTCAACCGGCTCCGTCTCCAAGAGAGCGCCCAGTATTCAACAGGCCCCGTCTCCAAGACAGCACTCGGTACTCAACAGGCCCCGCCTCCAAGAGAGCACCCAGTACTCCACAGCCTCCGGTACCAGAGAGGCCCCTGCGAAGATGTATTCGAAAAGGAATCCGCCTCCAAGGGAGCACCCAGTACTCAGCAGGCCCCGTCTCCAAGAGGGCACCCAGTACTCAACAGGCCCCGTCTCCAAGACAGCACCCGGTACTCAACAGGCCCCGCCTCCAAGAAAGCACCCGGTATTCTACAGTCTCCTGCACCAGAGCGGCCCTTTCGAAGTTGCATTAAAAAAGAATTCCGCCTCCAAGAGAGCACCCAGCACTCAACAGGCCCCGCCTCCAAGAGAGCGCCCGCTACTCAACAGGCCCCGTCTCCAAGACAGCACCCGGCACTCAACAGGCCCCGCTTCCAAGAGAGCACCCAGTATTCCACAGCCTCCGATACCAGAGAGGCCCCTTCGAAGTTGTATTTAAAAAGAAACCGGCTCCAAGAGAGCACCCAGTACTCGACAGGCCCCGTCTCCAAGAGAGCACCCAGTACTCAACAGGCCCCGTTTCCAAGACAGCACCCGGTACTCGACAGGCCCCGCCTCCAAGAGAGCACCCAGTACTCCACAGCCTCCGATACCAGAGTTGCCCCTTCGAAGTTGTATTAAACGAGAAGTCCGCCTCCAAGAGAGTACGCAACAGGCTCCGTCTCCAAGAGGACGCCCAGTACTCAACAGGCCCCATCTCCAAGTCAGCACTCGGTACTCAACAGGCCCCGCCTCCAAGAGAGCACCCAGTATTCCACAGCCTCCGATACCAGAGAGGCCCCTTCGAAGTTGTATTAAAAAAGAAATCCGGCTCCAAGAGAGCACCCAGTACTCGACAGGCCCCGTCTCCAAGAGAGCACCCAGTACTCAACAGGCCCCGTCTCCAAGACATCACTCGGTACTCAACAGGCCCTGCCTCCAAGAGAGCACCCAGTACTCCACAGCTTCCGATATCAGAGAGGCCCCTGCGAAGTTGCATTAAAAAAGAAAATCGCCTCCAAGAGAGCACCCAGTACGCAACAGGCTCCGTTTCCAAGAGGGCGCCCAGTACTCAACAGGCCCCGTCTCCAAGACAGCACTCGGTACTCAACAGGCCCCGCCTCCAAGAAAGAGAGCGCCCAGTACTCGACAGCCTCTGGTACCAGCGATACCAGGAGGGAGGGGGATGGGGAGGGACAGGAGGAGGAGGAGGAGGAGGAGGAGGAGGAGGAGGAGGAGGAGGAGGTGGAGGAGGCTGGGGAGGGGGGGGGAGGAAGAGGAGGAGGAAGAGGAGGAGGAAGAGGAGGAGGAAGAAAGGATGAGGAGGTCGGGGGGGGGAGGAGGAAGCGGAGGAGGGGGAGGATGAGGGGGATGAGGAGGCGTGGTGGTGTTGCATGTGTGGCGTGGTGCGGTGGTGCTTCAGGGAGCGCGCGGGCGCCCGCCCGCCCGACTCGCCGCCCGCCCGTTAGGGCCCCGCCCGCCGCCCGACTCGCACGCCCGTTAGGGTCTCTCGCCCGACCCGACCCGCCCGTTAGGGTACGCACGTGCCAACTCGATGATGCATCATACTTTAATGTTCCACCCGCCCGACCCGACCCGCCCGTTAGGGTACGCACGTGCCATTTCGATGGGGCATCATAATTTAATGTCCTGCCCGCCCGACCCGACCCGCCCGTCAGGGTGCGCACGTGCCAACTCGATTATGCATCATATTTTATTGTCCCACCCGATCGACCCGACCCGCGCGTTAGGGCACGCACGCGCCAGCTCGATGATTCATCATACTTTAACGTATCGCCCGACCCGACCCGCCCGTTAGGGTATGCCTGTGTGGTACCCCGCCAGCTTGATACCCCCCCCGGGGCCCCCACTACCAAGCCAGCGGCCGCCGGCTTGGTACCCTCGCAGGCTTGGTACCCCCACAGGGGATCCCCCCTGCCAAGCCAGCGGCCGCCGGCTTGGTACCCCCCTCCCCCCAAGGGCCCCCCCCCCTACTTGGAAGGGTGGGGTTCTTATCAACCTTTGCACTATGTATATGTCGTTAGCAACTCCTGGCAATGCTCTAGCAATGCCTACTGACCCACAAGCAAGTTCAGCCAAGTACTTCGAAGACCGCCTAGCTCTTGTAATATGTGCCAGGTTGTTCAATGTAGTGTACATTGTATTCAACATGTTACTTTGGTTACAACGGTAGTACAACTGTTGTATGGCGTTGATAAGCTAGTTACTTGCGTTTGAAGCGAGTTGCTATAACTTTACTCATGCGTTAACATATTGTTGCAAACTCATACCAACATGTTGCTAAGTTCTAGATAACCTATGTTATCATAGTTATTAGCATAGGTTAGTAACATTCCCAATAACGTTACTAAGTGCGTTAAGGCGTTGCTTCAAGCGCGCGGGGGTATCTGAAAGTCTCTTACGCTGCGGGGTGACACAAGGCATTTGCGGAATATCGTTCCTCCGTGTTACTCCACCCTGCTCCTCCTTAGCCGTTTTGGTTGGTGGCTCATACAGGTGTGCGTACACGCAAACATGGCCACACAAGTTGATCTCGCCATTGAGAAAGTGACTCCTGATGTGGAATCTTTGTTGTCCGCTTATAGACAAGATGGTAAGCACATCCGTTGCTTCGACGGCCTGATGGATGTTTTCTCTAAGTTTCCAGACCTCAAGTGGACAATGCAGATGCAAAGCAAATACGTTGCGTGCCACAACCTCAACAGGGGCACGCTAGGCGTGTTGATGGGCGAGGCCTTGATTACAGCATCCAAGAATATAGCAGATGGGTATTCATTTAAAAGGGCGTGTGACGGTTGCTACGCTGTACAGTGCCCGCCTGGGACTGACATCATGAAAGAAACGCTGGCGTTCAATAACAACCTATGTGAAGTGCATGGGCTGCCTCGGTACGAGACCATATATGCAGCGACGTTTGGGGGGTCGCACTCTACGTACTTTCTCAATGCAGTTCACGCCCAGCTACCATGTGATATCACAAGCATCGCCCCTTCGGGTAAGTTGGACCCCAGGGAATTGAGCAAAGTGCATGGTTTAGACAGGGCCTTGAAAGAGGGCCTGATTTACACGGTAATATCCCACAAGGTGGTTGAGAAGTGGCCCGATGTCGTGCGCGTGGCCTATGCTGCTTTGAATGCGACTGGTATGGGTGGATCCACTGAGATGGAGGGTATGATGGCGATGATGAGTACGTTCAAGCAGGCCACGGACAATGGCAGGTCAGAAGACGTGGCGTGGAAGGCAGCGGTGTCGACGGCAACCATGACCAAACCATTTTGGGCTGGATGGTCGATGTCACTACAGCGAGTGTGCAATGTGACAACGGATGATCAGATGAAGGAGGCTCGCGACATGGTGGCATCTCTGTTGAAAGTACCTGCAACGGCAGCTCCCAACCACGGTTATTGCGGAGGTAGCTTCTTGGACAAGATTGCTTCTATGTGTTGGAAGAAAGAGCTGTGCGACTTCAGCAGGGTTCGTATCGCCTGCATGGTGGGCCAAATGTTATCACCAGTGCACAAGATCATAGATGGACGAGCTAGCCTCATCAAGGACGCTCAGCTCACCAAGCTTCTCAACCCGAAGAACATCGAGGAGGTGAGGTTCGCCGAAAAAATGCTCGACGATGCCAGGGAGTTGTGCAACACGTACAACGTGGACCAGGGCCGCAGGGCCAAACTTTTGCGCGGGCACGATACCAGAATCGTGTGCCATATCTTGAAGGTGACGCCCTTTATTCTCCTCCTCCTCCTCCTCCTCCTACTCCTCCTCATCCCTCCTCATCCTCCTCCTCCTCCTCCCCCTCACCTCAAGGTCGGCAATCAATCGCGCGAGGCTGTTGCGTACGGCGACTTGCCTCGCGCAGGGCAGGTGTTCATCAACGACTTGTCGGCGCTGATCGGCCAGGAGGTGGAGAACCCTTGGAAAGAGCCAGTGCCCGAGGACCAAACCTTCCAAATCATCCCCTCGCTCGTCCTCCGACTCCTACTCCTACTTTGGGGTGCTCGTTTTGGCGAACAGTTGGGGGAGAGAAGAGAGTAGTATTCATATTGATTAATTGTGGAGGAGGGGGGGAGGGAGGAGGAGCAGGAGGAGGAGGAGGAGGAGGAGGGGGGAGGAGGAGGAGGAGGAGGAGGAGGAGGAGGAGGAGGAGGAAGAGGAAGAGGAAGAGGAGGAGGAGGAGGAGGAGGGAGGAGGAGAAGGAGGAAGAATAGAAAAACGGGGGGCGTGAGGAACCGCAAAACGATGGGCGTGAGGAGCTTGAGCGGCGTGCAGGCGCAAGAATTCTTACATCACGAGATGCGCTACGAGAACAAGTAAAGTGCCAAAACGCCATGCTCCACGAGAACTGGTAAAGCGTCAAAACGCTATGCGCCACGAGAACAAGTAAAGTGTCAAGGAGAGGGGGGGAGGAGAGGGGAGGGGGAGGGATGGGAGGAGAAGGCAAACGACCTTAAACACTCCAGAGGAGGAGGAGGAGGAGGAGGAGGAGGAGGAGGGCCCTCCCGAGCGACTCCCCCTCCTCATCCCCGTGCACCCCTCCTGTCATCGGCCTCCACCGTCAACAGTCCGTCCTTTTTTGTGGCACCTTCGCCAGGATGAAATTCCTGAATATGGTGTTCCCGATCCAGCTGGGGGCGATCCCGCTCCAGCTGGGGGTGCTTCGGGCTCTGCTGGGCCAAGTGCTGGACCGACTGCAACGTCTGCAGCTACCCCGCACAAGCCTATGTCCCTGCAGTCCGCCGAGCAATCGAAGTCTCCGATGTACCAGCTCCGCGTGCATGGGTTTACGGAGGGAGCGCATGTCAAGCGCAAGAAGCCTCAGGATGACAAGACTGAGCACGGCACCATATATATGATTTCTGCAATGAATGGTTCATCAGTGGTGTTGGCCCCTACTGGTAGGTTCAGAGAGTTCCACGCGATCACGTTGAGTCAACAAAGCTTGAAAGAGGGTTGGGCACCGACCACGACAAAGCCGCAGTTCCGAATCAGTTACGCAACATGCAGGCCAGATACCAACCCAGAGTTTGTTAAGCAGCACATCATCGGGCAGTTGATCGATGCGCTGGCTGGTTTATCTCAGAGATCACACAATTCAGGATTCATGGAGGAGCTGGATATCTTCTCGTCGCCGAATACAGTCACCGTGAGGGCCGACATCCCGAAGGACAAGCTGACTTTGGTACCAGTGACCATGAATATCAAAACGAGACCTGCTAAAGATAAATGTGACCCTAAAGCATGGGACCTTGGCACCATCGCGTCGGACCCGAACACGACTGCCTACGCACTCCATCCTTGCATCGTGCTTCCCAAGGTGAAGGAGGATAAACCTGGATTCACCCCTCCGTATTGGTTTGCACAAGAAGCTGGGGAAGGCCAGAAGGGCAACATGAAGCCATTCTTGGAATCAATTCCGATTAGTACACCGAACGAGAAGGCTGAGGTAAAGGTGCCCGTGCTCAGGAACGCCGTCAGCCTCAAGACTGGAGATGAGCTGTTGATGGTGAAACAGAAAAAGAAGCAGCAGGGACCGCCCGTGACAGAGCCCAAGATCAACTGATTGGCATGTTCACGCATCGTCTTAAGGCCAGGCTGTTGAATGACCTGCAGGTTTCACTGCAGTTCGCCCCCCCTGCGATCGGGCTCTGACGCGCACGTCGGGTTGAGGTGGGCTGAGGAGGTGGAGGAAAACACACAGAGGAGGATGGGGTCATGCATGTCGGAACGCAATTGCCCGAGTCGTGTCTCTCGCTTTCTTTGCCAAGCGTGTGCAAACGCGCCTGCGCCAGGATCAGATATCATTTTTTTTGCGCGTGCGATGCCCCGTTGATGCAGCCAGCCATGATAATATTCTGCACTCGAGAGGTGTTGGCGCAGAAGCAAGGCACCGAGGGGAAGCGTGCGCACTTTGATTCACGTGTAGTGAGTTGCACTTGCTTACGTTCAGCGCTGTCGCGCAAAGTTGTTCGACGGTGAGTTTCGTCAACCGTCGTGGGAGATGATGCGTTGGCCAGTCTGTGCTCATAATCCTGGCTATGTCCCTCTTCCTCCTCCTCCTCCTCCTCCTTCCTCCCCCTCCCTCCTCATCATCCCTCGTTCCCCTTCTGCAGTCGGCGTTGGCTCCAAATCGTGAACGTGCGGAATCGAAGCTGCGCTGTGCAATGCTATGGTTTACTCTAGCGTCGAGGGGGGACAGGCGTGGAACCAAACCCCATGAGGGGGGACAGGCGTGGAACCACGGGAGGGGGGACAGACGTGCAACGGGGCCCCATTCGGGAGGGTAGACGGGCGTGCAACCAGCCCCCCCCTGAGGCTGCGGTGCCATGGAATGACATGCTATACTCTGCAATACCAGGTCATGCTGTTGCGAAGCATGCGAGGCAAACGGTATGAACTCAAATAGATAAGCTGGCATGAGTAAGGTATGATGTGCCATGCAATGCATATATGCTATACTCTGCAATGTCATGCCATGCTGTTGCGAAGCATACACGGCAAACGGTATAATCTCAAACAGATAAGCTGGCACTGGTAAGCTAAGCTGTGCGATGCAATGATATGACTATGCTCCTCCAGAAGGCCCACTGCCCGCGGGCAGTCATTGCCCGTCATTGCAATGCAGCCAGTGCGCGTGTCTTTCAGCATCAACACCGTAGCTTTTCTTGGGCTCGAATGCGCGACTTCAGTTCACCCTTACCCGATCGGCCACATTCGCACGATGGCCCGCATCAAAGTGGAGAAACGTGCAGCTGTGGACATCAGCGGTTCGTTGGAAGACGGCTTCCCTTGGACAGGTGTCGTTGTGCGCCCTGTTGGCGGCGTGGACTTCATCGCGCTCAGGAAGGATGACCGATGCTTGACGAAGTGGCTCACCCAGAAAAGGACCTACTCGACTCAGGTGACTGCGTTGATAAAGTTCCTCACTGACATCCAGAAGAAGGCGTCGTCGGACGCATTGGGCCATGGCGGCGGCTTGGAAAGAATCAAGACGACCTACCGCAACAGGAAGGAGAAGCTCGCGCTCAAGGCATTGTCCGAGGGCAGTGAGGTGACCACTGTGGACGTCGAGCTGCCCAGCTTTGATGGCGGCGAGCCCGTCGCTGTCGTGCGCACCACAATGCCGCTGGACGTTAGCCCTAGGCACGCCATGGTGGCGCCTGACCCCAAGGTCCTCGAGTACGTCTGCAGGAAGTTCCACACCCTGACACCCAAGGTCGCGAAGGCTCGCGCCGAGTTCCCGCCAGTGGAGTTGGGGGACGGCAGCACTGCATACTATCATAAGCACAAGAAGGCGAGGGTCCAGAGGGTCAAGGGGGGCGACGGGAAATATCACTCTCACAAGATCCAGCATTCGACGAGTGACACTGACGTTGGCAACGTAGGCGACGCTGGTGTTAGCGATGCAGGCACTGGTAGCAGCGCCGACGAGGCCGAAGCTTGCGCCTCGGACGCTTCCAGTCGGACCGAGTAGAGTGACACATGCGTGGTCACATGCATTCGAGCAGCACGGCCCGAGTGGGGAGTCGGGCGGTTGCGCGTCGGGGAGGGCATCGCGCGGAACACCGTGCGGTGCATCGATATACAATATCGTAGCGGAGCATACCGCAACAGATGAGCGCAGGAAAAAAACCATCATCATCATCACCATCACCATCATCAACATCATAATCATTATCACCATCATCAGCATCATCAGCATCAGCATCATCATCAGCATTACCATGATCACCACCACAACTGCGGTAAAACACCTCCAACAGTACGGATGGGGAAGAGGGGTAGGAGGAGGAGGGGGAGGAGGAGGAGGAGGAGGAGGAGGAGGAGGAGGAGGAAGAGGAGGAGGAGGAGGAGGAGTGGGAGGAGGAGGAGGAGGATGAGGCGGATGGCGGGGGAGGAAGGGGGGATGAGCAGGAGGAGGGAGGAGGGACGGGGGGGAGGGGGGAGGTGGGAGGGGGAGAGGGGAGGGGGAGAAGGGGGAGGAGGAGAATGCAAACCACTTCAAAAAGAGTGAGGAGGGAGGATGGAGGAGGGGGGAGGGGGAATGAGGAGAAGGCAAAACAACTTGGGGGAGGGTGAAGATGAGGAAGATGAGGAGGATGATACGGAAGAAATAAAGAGTAGGAGGAGGGTGAGAATGAAGTTTTTCTGTGCGAAGATCAACTGGCGAATGCACCTGGCCGCGCAACACTTTCAACCGCCAATTCTCAAATCGAAATTGGCGGTTGAAACCCTCTGCGATGCGTTTGAGGTCTCGGTGTGGTTTGGCAATGGATTTGGAAGGCGTTGTCAAGTCAAGTTGGCCCGAATTTCCGTCTTCGTCAGTAGCCATTTGGGCTCAACCCGCACTCAGCCTTCAGCCCCCGTTCACGACCCAGCACACTGTTTTGAGGATGGCGAGCATCGCGAGGGTGATATCAGAGATCCAAGGGTCTGCTGGCGTCATGGAGGCTCGCTCCAAGGTCGCGCACGATCAAGCTGATCTCGATCGTTTGTCCGAGTCGTTGACGGCCAGTCTCTGCGCAATGGTCAGGAACATCAACGAGCATGTAATGAGTGAGTCAGCTTCGGCCATGATGAACGCCGTGGGGGCGTCGCGTTTCTCCGACAGCCAGAAGGCAGTGATGATGGCGAGTATCCAAGATAAGTTGATGAACGGCAGTCGGTCCGCGCAGCTGGCAGGCCACGACAAGCAGGCATTCGCCGCGCCAACCTCGTGCATGCAGTTCTTCACCCAGCAGGATTGGAACATCATTGCCAACCCCAACGTGCACTGGACCTCGGACTTGAAGACGACTGCTGTGGCGCAGCGCTTGGTCAAAGGCGGGTTCTACAAGCCATGCGAGAAGGCTGCGGCAGACTTGGTGGCAATGTTGGCGGCGGCAGTTGACCCCCCCGACGCGACCAAGGATGCGCTGCACCGCCACGTCGACCTGATCAAGACCGTGTTCAAGCGCGTTGCCGTGGAGATGCCGATGCAACACACGGTCACACCTCTCAGCTTCTACCCCAGCGTGGCGGCCATGTCCGACAACGTGCGGAATGCGATGTACACCGAGGATGACCCGCCGATCACTCGCCTCCTTGACTCGTGGCAGAAGTTCAGGAAGGACACAAGCTGCAGGAGCTCAAACCTTCAGGTCAGGGGCGTGGTTAACCCTACGAGGCCATCCCGTAGGAAAGAAGTAGACCATCGCAGCATGGTTCCTGTCGCTGGTGCGCCTCAATACGGGCATGGTCGTGGCGTGATCAATCTCGGTGACTTGTCTAGTGTCGGCGGTGGTCGCGTCGATCGCCCCCCTCGCCAGGGCATCGACGTGGCTGGCTACCTCCAGGCCGCCGCTAGCCTCGGCCTCAATCCGATGCAGTCTATCCAGCTTGGGATTGCAGCAGGCGTTGTGGATGGCAGCGGCGCTGAAAGCAACGCCAGTTGGCTCTCGTTTGGGGCAGGCGCTGCTGCGCCAAGCACGGCGTCAGCGTCCCGAGATGGTCAGGTGCCACCAGGCGGCCTTGAGCACCAGGCGGCGCCGCCTGCCTCGGCCCCCAAGCCAGCTGCCCTCGAGGGCGCGCCTCCGACAGGGCCCAACGTCAAGAGCGTGCTGGGCGAGATCGGCGCGAAGCCTCCCGACACTGGCAACGCGCCCATGGAGGTGGACGAAGTGGAGGCTGAGCACAAGGCGCTGTTCGAGAAGGCCAAGCAGAAGAGGAAGGATGATAAGGATGCCGAGGATGACGACGATAGCCCTCCCAAGAAGAGACCCGCGGCGGCCGTCTTGAAGAAGGTTGCCACAGCGAGCGTGGCTGCCATGAAGAAGCCCGCTGCCAGCCCGAAGAATGCGGTCAAGCCGTGCATGCCTGGTCCTGGCGTCGGTGTCGAGTACCGCGGAGGGAAGATCCTTGCTTCGGAGTCGAAGCAGGGCTGGAGGGTGTGGCCTAACAAGGCGGAGGTCGGACACGAGAAGACTGTGAAGTTCGGGGGCAGCAAGAAGGCCAGCTTCGCCAAGGCGATTGAGCTCATTGATTCGTTTTGAAGCGGCAGCGTCGGCTAAGTGCGAAGCTGCGTGCCAGTGTTGTGGGCGTTCTGGCACAGTGCATTCAGGTAGAATGTGTTTGTTGGTGCATCGGTATACAAGATCGTAGCGGAGCATGCCGCAACAGTTGAGCGCAGGAAAAACCATCATCATCACCACCACCATCATCAACATCACCATCATCATTATCATCATCATCAACATCATCATCATCAGCATCATCAACATGACCATACTCATCACCAAGACTGCGGTAAAACACCTCCAACAGTACGGATGCGGAGGAGGGGCAGGAGGAGGAGGGGTAGTAGGAGGAGGAGGAGGCGGAGGAGGAGGAGGATGAGAAGGATGAGGCGGAGGGCGGAGGAGGAAGGGGAGGATGTGCAGGAGGAGGGAGGAGGGACGCGGGGGGGGGGGAGGATGGGGGGAGGGGAAGGAGGCATGCCTCCTTCTCCGCAGTCGTCGTCGTCGTCGTCGTCGTCGTCGTCGTCGTCGTCGTCGTCGTTATCGTCGTCGTCGGTCGTCGTCGTCGACTTCGTCGTCATCGTCGCCGTCTCCCTCGCCGTCGTCATCGTCGTCTATGTCGTCGTCGTCGTCGTCGTCGGTCGTCGTCGTCGTCGACTTCGTCGTCGTTGTCGACGTCGTCGTCGACGTCGTCGTCGACGTCGTCGTCGTCGTCGCCGTGGCGGGCGTCGTCGTCGTTGCCGCCGCCGCGACCGCCCCCCCGCCGCGGCCAACCCCCGCCGCGACTGCGGACGGCAACACCGCCCAGGCGGGCGCGTGCCCCGCGTGGGCGGGGGAAGGGAGGATGAGGAGGAGAAGGGGGAGGGAGGGGGGAGAAGGGAGCAGGAGGAGGGAGGAGCCCTGGGGGAGGAGACAAGATGAGGCAGGAGGAGACAAGAGGAGGTGTAGGAGGAGGAGGGGGGGAGGAGGAAACGGATGTGATGTCTAACCCGCCTTAGAGGAGGAGCAGGGACCCCCAAACGACAAGGATGAAGCAAACACACGCTCCAAAACGCTTGGCTGGGGGAGGTGAGTCGAGGAGGAGAAAGAAGATGGGGGGTATAGCATATGTGCGTGCGTGGCTTTGGATTGGCCTTATCTCGGTGAGCGTTGTCCCGTATGTGGTGCGATTGAGTTATGTGGAGCAAGCTGTGAGGCGGTGCGATCGATGTGGGGCAATCTATGCACCGCAATCGGTGGTGTGAGCTATGTGGAGAAGTGAACTAAGCCCACCATGACCCTAATTGATTCGAGTCAGAATAACTACGTGGTGCAATATACCAGGTACGTGCTATGTGGTGCAATCTATGTGGTGTAAGCTAGGTGGTCCTAGGCAGTACAAAGCAATGCAGGGTTCACTATGCTATGCGATGCAATACTACGCTACGCTATGAAATGCTATGCTGCGTTATGGAACTGCTATTTTGAACAGGGCGGTGGTCACGCACTGGGTCCATAGCCATTTGGCTCAGCCATGTTGCAGTCAGTGAAGTACCGCAAATTGAACGATTTCAGAAACAGTATCCCACATGCTAGCCAGAATGCACTTGCAGCGATTTGTGCAAAGCTCAAGAAAGGCGAGTTGGATGAACCAAAGCGATAAGAGCTGCCAGGGACATGAACGCATATCAGATGACTCCGTTCGGACAGTTGTGTGTGGATGTTTCCTTACAAGATAAGCAGGGTGGTATAGTTCGAGTGCCAATCGCAAGCCCAATACCATATATCTATGCTGCGTCAAAGCTTCAAATGTTCGGCAAACTTGTGCTTGATACGTTCAGGCGGGACCCGTGTAGTAGCGAACACCCTTGGCAGCTAGTGGTATACGCAGATGAAGCGAAACCAGGGAACTCTTTAAAACAACACAATAAGCGTGCAATGCAATGCTGCTACCTGTCGTTTTTGAACTTCGGACCTGCAGCATTGTGTAAAGAAGATTTTTGGTTATGCGTTGCAGCCGCTCTATCAACAGACATCAATGCATGCGAGGCAGGTATGTCGCAATTAATGGGTCATGTGTTGAGATTGTGTTTCGGTGAGTCTGGGTTCGACTTAAGTATTTCGGGTGCAACTCTTGATCTACCGAACGGTCAAACCATTCGATTGTTTGCAACTTTGTCCTGTGTGCTGGGGGACGAGTCAGCCCTTCATTCTTTGTGGCAATGCAAGGGATCAGGGGGCGTGGTGCCGTGCGTTCAATGTTTTAACATCATAAACAAGAACGCCACTGTTGCAGAGGCAATCACCCCTGGTGGGATCTTGAAAGACTTCACGGAAGTATCGTCTATCGACCAATGCGTGCTTCAGACCAGGGAGCGGATTCTTCACATTGTCGATGAGCTTAAAAACACCAAGGCCACAATGAAAAAGGGCAAATGGCAGCAACGAGAAAAGATGCTTGGTTGGAACCACACGGAATGCAACATGTTACATGACGCGCGGCTTCGGCCGTTGTTGGATCCTACAGTCCAGAACTGTTTCGATTGGGTGCACAACATCCTTCAAGGCATATTTCAAGTAACTGTGTTCAAACTCTTGTTTGAGTTGAAAGGGTCAGGCATTGCGGCGGCTCATATTTTCAGCTGGGTTGGGAAATGCAGATGGCCAAAACGAATCTCGAGCTCCAGCGTCACTGGAGTCGACATGTTTTCCCCTAAGAGGACGGAAAGCTCGTGGAAAGCATGCAGTTGGAAGTGCTCTAACGGCGAAGCGCTTTCGATGGCCCCCGTGCTGGCGCACTGCTGTAGAACTGTCGTGATGCCGACTGGGTTGCACAATGGAGCTTGTCTTACTTTCATCGCGCTTGCGAGCCTCATCCAAATGTTGTGGTATGGGCCGAAGCTTAATATCCAAGCCAAGGATGTCAGTGCCGCCACAACTACATTCTTTGAGAAGTTTACGGCGAATTTCGGGGTAGATGGTACGCTATGGAAGACGCATGGTATTTTACACCACCCGCAATATATATGCAGGTGGGGCTTTTCACCGCACACATTCCTTCTGGAAAGAAAACATAAGCAGGTCCTGCAATTTGGTGAGGATTTCGACAAAGATTGCAGGCGAGTTTTGAACGAAGTGATATCTCAGAGCATTTCAAGATTTGATTCCTCCCCATGGCTTGATTTGGACGTTGGTCTTGTGGGTGCCAAGCCATCTCCAAAAAGGGTGCTTGCTCAGCAGGTTGAGGCGTTTGGCCCCAACGTTGAGCATCTGTGCGCACGCCGCGCTAAGTTCAGCGCGTTCGATTCCGCAGCCATCGGGGACACTGTTGCAATCAAGGGTGCGTCTGGATGGAGTGTTGGTACGATTGTACTTTGGGGCAGCAGCGCTGGTATTGCGTATTGCACGGTGCAAATGTTTAGGTGTGTTGAGCGGCACGCGTGGTATTCTATTTGGACAATCCAGGGTGCGCCATCTCTTGTCGCCCTGGAGGATCTCATTGATGTGTGCATTGTGCGGGGGTCTGATCACAACTTGTGCGTGTTGCATCCACTGTCGCTGGTCGGATGATACGTGTTGCGCCGAATGTGCGCCTTGCCAGAAACACAATGTGCCCACGGCGGTGCGCTAGCTCTGGGAGGGGAGGGAAGAGGAGGGACGGGGGAGGGAAAGACGGAGGAGGAGGAGGAGGAGGAAGCGGACGAGGAGGACAGAAAAGGAGGAGGAAGAGGAGGAGGACGACGACTACGACGACGAGGAAGAAGGGGGGAGGAGGGGGGGGGGTCATCTCCCTCCTCGTCCTCGTCCTCCCGATCCTCCTCCTCCTCCCCCTTTTCATTTTTTTGCTTGTCGGGATCGCGCGTTTCAGTCGCTGACGCGGGCCACATTCCCTGAGCCACTCCAGGTATTTCACATGTTTCGTGGTCCTGGGTTTGAGAAAACCAACGTTCGTATGCTGGCGTTGCCCTGTCAAGGGCGCAGAAATACAAAGTCCAATGTTGATATTTCTTGGTCTGGGGCGTGTGGTTTATTGTATTTCCAGGGATGGCTAACTTGGTTAGCCGATGTTACTAACTCAGGTTATTGAAGTTGCTAACTTTGCGACTTGGGATTGCTAACCTCAGGAATATGCTTGCTAACTCTTACAAAGTTGTTTTGCGGAGCTTTGTAACACGTGCTATCTGTTTGCGTTGACAAAGGATGCAAGTGTTACTACATAGCTTAACAACGACTTACCAAGCACTCACAAGTAGCATAGCACCTGGTATCGCTTGCAATGTTTACCAACACCGCTCCCCTGCCAAGTACCAAGCCAGCGGCCGCCGGCTTGGTACCCCGCCGGCTTGGTACCTCTTCCCGGGGGCTCCCCCCTACCAAGCCAGCGGCCGCCGGCTTGGTCCCCCCCCCAGGGGCTCCCCCCTACCAAGCCAGCGGCCGCCGGTTGGGTGCCCCCCCAGGAGCTCACCCCTACCAAGCCAGCGGCCGCCGGCCTGGTACCCCGCCGGCTTGGTACCCTTCCCGGGGGCTCCCCCTACCAAGCCAGCGGCCGCCGGCTTGGTACCCCGCCGGCTTGGTACCCCCCCTACCAAGCCGCGGCCGCCGGCTGGTACCCCGCCGCTTGGTTGGTATCCCCCCCCCAGTACCCCCCCCCCCCCCCAGGGGCTCTCCCCTACAAGCCAGCGGCCCGCCGGCTTGGTACCCCGCCGGCTTGGTACCCCCGCAGGGGCTCCCCCCTATCAAGCCAGCGGCCGCCGGCCTGGTATCCCCCCTTTTTCCCCCTACCAAGCCAGCGGCCGCCGGCTTGGTACCCCGCCGGCTTGGTACCCCGCAGGGTCTCCTCCCTACCAAGCCAGCGGCCGCCGGCTTGGTACCCCGCCGGCTTGGTACCCCCCTGGGGGCTCCTCTACCAAGCCAGCGGCCGCCGGCTTGGTACCCCGCCGGCTTGGTCCCCATACCCAGGGCCGCCGCTTGGGGCCCGACGCTGGGTCCCCCAAGGCCCCGCGGCTCTCCCTACCCTACCAAGCCAGCGG